AGGTGGATCACACAGCTACAGTAATCCAAATAGGTTGATACTAGGATAGACACATAGATCAATGGAATAGAATGCAGAGTTTAGAACCAGACCCATACAGATATTGTCAATTGATTTTTAAATAGTTGCTTTTTGATAAGGGTGCTAAGGTAATGTGATGGAGAAAGGAAAGTATTTTCAATTCAAATGGCTGAAATGACTGGATATCCATTGGGGAAAGAAAGGGACTTTAGCCTTTCACACCATACACAAAAATTATGGAATTCTGAAGAAAATAAGTGAAAATATTCGTGAACTTGGGGTAGGCAAAAATTTAATAGATGAGGCAAAAAAAGCTGAAACCCTAAAAATGGTTTCATTTTCATAAGGATAAATTAGAGTTTATCAAAATTAACGCTTCCCTTCAAAAGAAAAATTAAGGAAAAATGAACAAATAAGCCACAGACTGAGAGAAAATATTTGTTTCCTAAGAAGTATTTTGTTTTCCATTTTTATGGGTTCATAGTAAGTGTACATATTTATGGGGTCCATGAGATATTTTGGTTCATACAATGGAAGATTCACATCAAGGAGAACTGGTATCCATCCCCTTGAGCGATTATCCTTTGTGTTACAAACAATTCTATTATACTTTACTTTTAGTTATTTTTTTTTTTTTTTTTTTTTTTTTTTTGAGACGGAGTCTCGCTCTGTCACCCAACCTGGAGTCCAGTGGCGCCATCTCAACTCACTGCAACCTCTGCCTCCCAGGTTCCAGCGATTCTCCTGCCTCAGCTTCCTGAGTAGCTGGGACTACAGGCGCCCACCACCACGCCCAGCTAGTTTTTGTATTTTTAAACTTTTTTTTTCTTTTTTTTGAGATGGAGTCTCGCTCTGTCACCCAGGCTGGAGTATAGTGGCATAATTTTGGCTCACTGCAACCTCCGTCTCCCAGGTTCAAGAGACTCCCCTGCCCCAGACTCCCAAGTAGCTGGGATTACAGGCAAGCGCCACCACGCCTGGCTAATTTTTTGTATTTTTAGTAGAGGCAGGAGTTTTACCATGTCGGTCAGGCTAGACTCGAATGCCTGACCTTGTGATCCACCTGCCTTGGCCTCCCAAAGTGCTGGGATTACAGGCATGAGCCACCACGCCTGGCCTTAGTTTTTGTATTTTTAGTAGAGATGAGATTTCACCATGTTGGCCAAGCCGGTCTTGAACTCCTGACCTCAGATGATCCACCTGCCTCTGCCTCCCAAAGTGCTGAGATTACAGGTGTGAGCCACTGTGCCCGACCTCTCTTTTAGTTATTTTTAAATGTACAATTAAATTATGATTGACTATAGTCTCCCTGGGTCTTATTCATTCTTTCTATTTTTTTGTATCCATTAACCATCCCTACATACCTTCCCACCCCTGCCACTACCCTTCCAAGTCTCTGCGAACAATCCTTCTATTCTCTATTTCCATGAGTTTCATTGTTTTGATGTTTTGATACTACAGATAAGTGAGAACATGCAGTATCTGTCTGTCTGTGGCTGGCGAGAAAATATGTGTAATATTTGTATTTGGCAAAGGACTTGTATCCAAAATACAGAAATAAATTCTACTGCTCAATAATAAAAAGAGAAACAATTTATAATGAGACCCAGTGTCTACAAAAAGTAAAATAATTAGCCGGGCATGTTGGTGCATGTCTGTAGTCCCACCTAATCAGGAGGCTGAGGGGGAAAGATTGCGTAAGCCCAGGTGTTCGAGGTTGCAGTGAGCTGTGATCGTGCCACTGCACTCCAGTCTGGGTGACAGAGAAAGATCTTGTCTCTAAAAAAAATAAAAATAAAGGGCTGGGGGAGGTGGCTCATGCCTGGAATCCCAGCACGTTGGAAGGCTGAGGGGTGGATCGCTTAAGTCCAGGAGTTCCCAAGACCAGCCTGGGCAACATGGTGAAACCCTATCTCTACCAAAATCACAAAAAATTAGCTAGGTGTGGTGCATGCCTGTAGTCCCAGCTACTAAAAAGGCTGAGGTGGGAGGATCACCTGAGCCCAGGAAGTTGAGGCTGCAGTGAGCCATGATCGTGCCACCACACTCTAACCTGGGCAACTGGAGTGGGACCGTGTCCCCTAAAAATATATATAAGTAAATAAATAAATACTAATAAAATGAGCTAAAGACTTGGACAGGCTTCATAAGAAACAAACAAATGGCCAATAAATACATGAAAAGATGATTGACCACAATTAGTCATTGGCCACAATTAGATACCACTACTCATCCACTAGCATGGCTAAAGCATAAAAGAGTGACCATTAAGTGTTGGCAAGAAAGTGGAGCACCCATGGCTCTCATACATTCCTGGTGGGAATGGAAAATTCAGTCACCACTTTGGAACACAGTTTGGCAGTTTCTTACAAAGTTAAACATATACTTACCATGTGACCCATCTTTTCCACTCCTTCGTATTTACTCAAGGGAAGTAAAAACACAGGTCCACAAATAACCTGCACATGGGTGTTTACAGAAGCTTTATTGCTAGTGGCCCCAAACAGTGAAAAAATCGAAGTGTCTGTCAATAAGAGACAGGATAAACGAACTGTGGCGGATTAACAATGGCGTGCTTCTCGGCAATAAAAAAGAATGAACAATTGATACACATGACAATATAGGTAAATCTTCAAAACAGCATGCCGTGTGATACAGCCAGACATAAAAGAGCATGCGTCAGACGATTCTGTTTATGGGAGACGCCAGGAAATCAGATCTGTGGTTGCCGGGGTCAGGAGAGACCTTACTGGGGTGATGAAAATGTGTATATGTTGTTTGGGGTGCTGATTACACGTGTACCTACATTGTGTGAAACTCATCAAAACCGTATACCTAAAGTGGGTACATTTCATTGGATGTAAGTTCTCCCTCAAATGAAATTGATTTTCAAAGTTTTTAAAAATGGAACCATTTTTGCCAAATTGAAGGAAAATTATTTCCACTGAGATTTCCCTACAGCCAAACAATCTACCAACTACAAAAATGGTAAAAATCATTTAGGACATGTAAAGTTCAAATGTTGCCTCCCACGTTTCTGTTTCAGGAAGCTATTCGAGATAAATTGTTTCATGGTCACAGGATTTAGAAAGGTGGAGGTAAATACACACAAGCATTATAAGATAAGAAGTAACAGATGAATTAGTTGAAAGGGACTGATTTCGGGGGAAGGAATAGGAACTGGGCCGGGAGATAGACGCCCTTCAGGCTTGCCCTTGTGAAAACAGAAGTCCCCTCTTACTGTGGGGGATACGTTCCGAGAAATTAAGCACAGGGTGGGATTAACAACCATAATTAATAATAAAATAGAACAATTATAACAATATACTGTC